CTTCTTCTTCTTCTTCTTCTTCTTCTTCTTCTTCTTCTTCTTCTTCTTCTTCTTCTTCTTCTTCTTCTGACCTTACTCTCAGTAGAGTATAGGCCCTCAACTGACACACTCCTGTGATTTTCTATACAGATGGCTCTGTTGAGAGGTAGATGAAGTGCACTGGGCTTCATAACAAAAAAACGAATGGACATATCAGTGCAACAAAACCTGGCATATGTCTAGTTTGAGAATAGAGTTGGAGGCAGTCATTGCTGCATTCCGCTGGCTTGAGAATCAGCTGTACACACATGTCGTTTTTGTAACTGTATCACAGAGCATCTTGAGAAAAGTGGACAGGCTTGTTCCATGTAGAGTGGCAAGCATCGTTTCAGAGGTCCCGAATAGTCAGCATCCTTTGGATATTTTCTTCGGGTCATGCTGGTGTATTGGGAAACGAGCAGGCAGATAGACTTGCCAGTTCTGCACCACTTTGGTGGGGAAGTGATGTATGACAAGCTAGATGTTGTGAGGTTCCTTTGGGAGCGACGGAACAGTAGGGACACACGAATAGATTATTACAGTCTGAGGAGAATGGCATTGCGAGGAATTACCATGAGATCTGGCCAATGCTCAGGTCTCAAGGGAAAGGCTAGATGGATATACAGTCAGACAGATACTGGTGGTACCTTCGGAATTTGAACTTTGCTTGCTGCTGAAGATGGGGACAGAGCGCTTAAGGGAGTGTCCTGAGCGCTGCAAGGTTGATTCTTAATTCAACATACAACACCAAGTTACCCTGTCATTTACTATCACATACATCTCGACACATATTCTCCCAATTTTTTTTTAACTTCATTCTTGTTCCCTTTTCAGGGTGTTTTTTTTTGTCAGCCTTTATTTCTATCCTACTGCTGGTTTCAGTGTAAAGACATTCTAGTTATTTTGTTGTCTGGTTTTCTCTACCTGTGCCCTTTCTAGTGCCAGTGTCTTTTCTTCACCTCATGATTTACTGGAATTTGTCAAGTTCTCTTCCAAAGCTCCACATTGTTTATTTTGTCATGCGATATATTTCTGTCTGTTCAGCACCATCTTTCACCCCCAAAGCAGCAGTAATTAAGTAAGAAAGTAAAGGGCAACTTTTTCTCATTAATAAATGACTGTAGTTTATTATTAACTGTTCTAGTAGTTCTGTTTTTTCAGCTCCATACAGCATTAATTAGGTGGAGTAAGAAACAATTAGATTTGCAAAATTCTCTGTCTTGGTCTGTTACGCACCAACAGAGGATGCAGAAGAGGAGACAAAAGACAGCTTTTATGACAGTCTGCAAACAATAGTAGAAGACATCCTAAAGCATGATGTATTATTAATCCTGGAAGACTAATGCTCAGGTAGGAAAGGACAATGCAGGGAATAAGAGAGCAATGGGAAACGTGGAACACGGAAAATGACCAACAACGGAGAGAGATTATGTGACTTCAGCCAATCTAATGACCTAATAATTGGAGGAACACTCTTCCCTCATAAAACACTTCTAGGGAGTAGTTTAAGGAGACGAGGTTCCTGGTGAATTCCTTGCTGTATTTCCTTCCAGTTTCTAGAAAATAAAATTTTGTTCATGTTATTAAGCTTGTGCAGATTACAAACAAATTCCTGCTGGTGCTTCAGATTATACTGAGACCACTGGCTTCTTAAGCAACCACACTAATCACTATACTGCCACAGATGCAGAAATTTGAACACCGTATTTCCTGCCTGAATCTACCATTTCTTGGGTGGTGTAGGTCGTCTGTGGCTTAGGCGTTGCGAATGCGCTTTGTAATGCAGGAGTGCCGTGTTCAATCCCCGCTGCGGACGATTTGTCTTGCGCTGATGTTGACAGTGGTACTGAGAGCTGACCGTTTAGAAAGCAATGGCAAGCTACTGAATGTCAAATGTGCCTTACAAAAGCCACAACAGCTAATAAATGCTGGGGTTGGTTCTGCAACGTCCTGTAAAGGATACACAACTAACTTAGTAGGACAGGGACATGGATTGTCCTAGATAGACCAATGCCAAATTACAGCATGTGAGATGAGATCTATAAGAGATGTGGCTGGAGGAACAAGAAGAGACAGAGTCACTGGGGAACAAAGCAATGGTAGGCACAGTAGAAATGTGGCGGGAGGAATAAGAAGAGACAAAGTCACTGGGGAACAGAGCAATGGTAGGCACAGTAGAAATGTGGCGGGAGGAACAAGAAGAGACAAAGTCACTGGGGAACAGAGCAATGGTAGGCACAGTAGAAATGTGGCGGGAGGAACAAGAATAGACAAAGTCACTGGGGAACTAAGAGCAATGGTAGGCACAGTAGAAATGGGTGGGGGGAACAGAAGACAAAGAGTGGTAAGGAGAGCAATGGTAGGCACAGTAGAAATGTGGTGGGAGGACAAGAGAGACACTCACTGGGGAACTAAGAGCAATGGTAGGCACAGTAGAAATGTGGTGGGAGGAACAAGAAGAGACAAGAGTCACTAAGGAACTAAGAGCAATGGTAGGCACAGTAGAAATGTGGTGGGAGGAACAAGAAGAGACAAGAGTCACTAAGGAACTAAGAGCAATGGTAGGCACAGTAGAAATGTGGTGGGAGGAACAAGAAGAGACAAGAGTCACTAAGGAACTAAGAGCAATGGTAGGCACAGTAGAAATGTGGTGGGAGGAACAAGAAGAGACGAGAGTCACTAAGGAACTAAGAGCAATGGTAGGCACAGTAGAAATGTGGTGGGAGGAACAAGAAGACACAAGAGTCACTAAGGAACTAAGAGCAATGGTAGGCACAGTAGAAATGTGGTGGGAGGAACAAGAAGAGACAAGAGTCACTAAGGAACTAAGAACAATGGTAGGCACAGTAGAAATGTGGTGGGAGGAACAAGAAGAGACAAGAGTCACTAAGGAACTAAGAACAATGGTAGGCACAGTAGAAATGTGGTGGGAGGAACAAGAAGAGACAAGAGTCACTAAGGAACTAAGAACAATGGTAGGCACAGTAGAAATGTGGTGGGAGGAACAAGAAGAGACAAGAGTCACTAAGGAACTAAGAGCAATGGTAGGCGCAGTATTGGTGAATGATTTAATAAAACATTAATGAATCAAATGGTTTGGTCATCTGGTCAGAATGGAACAAAATCGGCCAGCATCTAGAATTTACTACATAACAGCAGGCTACAAATCGAGAGGGCGACCAAGAAAGAGATGGGTGGAGAGAGTAAATGAGACACTACAGAAACACAATATGACATTAACTTGAGCTACTGCACTAGCAAAAGACAGGAAACTACATCTAGCTCCTCTCAGCAATGCTTTATGGCATAAACAGTAGAAACCAAGAAGATAGAAGTAATTGTAGGACGGAGAAAAGTGAGTGAGGCTTTGAGTCTGAGGACTTAAAGCAGCATGGCGAATGTGGTATGCAGATTATTCAGAATTGTTTTTGTTTTTCCATATTATAGTAATGTTATCTTTTCAGTGTATCACAGTGGGCTGCAACTGTAGACAAGAATCTCATGAATCTGAATACGATTTTTGCCAATGTGAATGATGTAAGTATCAATAGATCTACTTGCATTTATTGTTAGGATATTCATGTTTGAGACCTTATTTGAACATTTTTATTTACAAGACTTAGTCCATGATTGAAGAATGTAACAGAAGTTTGTCAGTCGTATCACCTCTTGTAATTTCTGGGATGGGGTGAGACAAAAACATTGAAGTGATTCCATAATGCTGACAAGTGTGTGAGAAGGCAAAACATGACAGCTTATGCTTACAAGCATGGCACATGATGATGAAGATAATGAGGTTCTGGGTTTTCATTTCAGAGAAGTAAAGAAGAGACCCAGTGTCTCTTAACTCTTTGAGTCCCAAGGAATGCATCATACGTTCATAGGTTCCTACCTTGAAGCCCAATGAACGCATGATGCGCCAATTTTATTACTTTCTTTACTACCCCCTGGGCCTATGATGCTAAACCCCCTGGGACTCAAAGAGTTAACAGGCTTGTTGTAAAAGGCCTTTAAAACCTAATGGTCAGACTTTTCTGCAGGAAATCCATGTTTGTAAAAAAAAATTGTTCTGTCATTTCAGATTTACCAGAGAAAAGCCAAGAATGGATCTTCTCATGTCCCTGGGTTCAGCTTTGAATATAAAGTCCTGAATGAAGTGGACCTTGTAAAAGAGATGGCTGAGAGTTTGTCACAGTTGCTGGGTAAACATGTCAGAGCTCTAGAGGTATGTTCTAACTTGTGGACATTATGTAATGTGTTATGTCAGGCAGGTGCTATCATTTGAGCAGATATGAGAAGGGGTATATATAGATCAGACCTGGCTTTTATCTCTACCAGTATGCAGTATCTACACCTGTTTAAGGTATAATTTTGGTTTAGCACTACTGTAATCGGGGAAAAGATCTCGTGGAAGACCAAGGGAAACTCTACGTAGAACTATCATCAGGGAAGGCTCGCTCATGGGCCACTCAAACATCCAAGACCTACAACAGATTGCAACAAACCGCCATGCATGGAGAGTCATGACCTCTGCCCTATGTGCCGCACTCGACACAAGAGGAAAGACTAACTAACTAACTACTGTAATCTGGACAGTGAGGAGGCACAAATATGTCATTGTGGTGTGAAGAGAATGGTGCAGTGGGTAGTGACCAGGGGAATCTGGCCAACACTCAGTACTCAGAGAAAGGCCAAGATGGACATACAATCACACTGCAGCTGGTATTCTCAGAACTGAAACTCCGCGCTGGCTGCTAAAAATGGGGATCAAGCGCTTATGGGAATTTCCTGAGGGCTGGGATATTGGTTGTTCACTCAAACAATACGTATAATTTATGCATTCCCAAAAAAAATTACGCTGAAATATAAATTATAGTATTTTCATTCAGCAGATGTTGAATTTTATGAGCATCTGTATTCCATGAAATTAGTTACAAGGATAGCTTATTTCTCTGCATGAATAATTTGAAACCTTATTTCAGAAATCAGTGGAGGCAGCCGAGAAAATTGCATCTGCATACAAATGGAACAACAATTTGAAGGTCAGTGTGATTGTTTTACATATTTTACAATTTTTATATTTATAATCCGGGAAGTTAACCTGGTCAACAAATGCATGATGAGGTCGGATATGTTGGCACAAATATCACAGGTTTGCTGTAAACAGGCACAATGCAGTTATGTCACTCGAACAGAAGCAAAACAATTTATAATGCTTTAACACTTTGTTAGGTGGCGCAGACAAAATAGGTTACAACATATGATCATCATCATCATCATCAAGTGCCTTGCCAGCTGTATATGGTTTAAAAAAACAAAACAAAAAGACACGCACGCACACATGCACACACGCGCACACTCAAACACACACGAGATCTCCAATACCTTACTTTGCAGTTTTGTTTCTTTCATTTATCTTTGTTTTTGTTGTTGTTATCGATCTAACGGCACATGAGCTATCGACCTTTGGCCCATTGCCATGAAGTGGAGTGGAAACAAGTATGCTAAAACCCCTGAATACCGGAAAATGTCATGAAGGCACAGTGACTCAGGACGTGACGATCCAGTTGTCCTAACTACCTATGCTTAGTTCATACTTAGAGCCATAGAGAGCTCAACGAAACCAGCAGGCAATCTGGTGGCGGGGAATGAGCACACTGTAAGCCCCACCTTAACTACGTGTCAGAGAAGGGGGAGGCAGAAACACAACTCATATTTCCTTTAGAACTGGTACAGCGCTTTCTGGCTGCTACACATGAAGGTAAGCAATCCACAGACACTCCGGCACCACAATGCCATCTACATTCCTGAGTTGATATTGCAGACTTTTTTTTTTTACTTAGGTCATATGTATAATTAGTTTCAGAATAATGCAGCTTTTGTTCCTATACAGAAAGATGATGTGACATACATGAATGCCAAGGAGCTGGCGGAGAAGAAAATCAACTTGACCTATGACGAACAGTTTGGAAGGGAAGTGAACTTTGACTTCTCTAGTGTCCACATTCCTGTGGAGATATATGATGGCAGTGAGTAGTGTTTAGTAAACATGAGTATCTGTTCACAATCCACCAGTTACTTTAAGTGTTGGGGGGGGGGGATTATCACCTGTTGCACTGTAACACATTATATAACTGCTTTCAGTCCTCGTCTTCTGATTGCTTCATGTTTGACTTTTGTCTTTTTTATTTTGTTACTCTCGCAGCTCTACTTAGATATTCTAAGTCTTTTGCTTATTAATTGTAGTCAGGATTGTTTTAACAGCATTGTGGGCCCCTGAGCAAACAGTTGTGCTGGGGCCCCTGTGACAACCACTTTTGGGAATAAAATCTTTATTTTTGGCAAGTTACTGATCATACACAGATTAGCATGTGGCCTCTAGGCCCATGGGGATCCCAGGCAAGTGCCCAGTGGTTCATGTGTTGAGGTGGCGCTGGTTGTAGTAAGGATCTGTGTTTGACACTAGTAGCTAAGAGTTGGCTAAACAGATATTTCCTGTTAGATTTGCCTAGGTAGACTATGGTATCCTTCTATGTGTCAAGATTGGTGTTAGTTGCCCCAGTCAGTACCTCATCTGTTTTTGCACATCCTATGTTGATTTCTCCATCCGTCACAAGTGATGACTTTATTTAAATTGACATTCTTTACTGGTAGTATTAAATTGACTTGGCTGACATATTGTGAAATCAAATCCGTAGAAGTTGAAAAAAAAAATCTAGTGGAAAGAGTGATTTAAACATGCAGGGTTTGATTGTGTGTAAGTGTTAAGGTGGGTGCTCATGGACAAGTTAAAGTGTTTGATGAATCCACACAGAACTGGTGTGATCATTTGTTTTACACTTGTGAGGCTACCGAGGAGGAGGTGAAAGCAGCTATGCATTCGCCCAGAGCACTGTGATGATTGTCTTCCAGACGCCATATTCCTGACCATAATGGTGGTTATAGGGGTACAACCTGCCAGACTTGAATATTTTATTGAGAGGACAGTATGTTTGATAAATCAGCACAGAACTGATGTGATCATTTGTTTTACACTTGTGAGGCTACTGGGAAGAAGGTGAGAGCACCTGTGCATTCACCCAGAGCACTGTGATGATTGTCCTCACTAATCAGTAGTAGAATATTTGTGGTGGAATCATCCCATGATAGAAATAGTTCATTGTTGGGGTGAGTCATGTAGTATTTTTGGCCAAGAGACGTATGATGGCTGTATTGCGAGTGTCTTCTTTTACCCAAACGTTTCCCTCTCTCCAGACAATAGTGTTATATAGTGCTGTAAGGTGGCAGGTGTGGGAATTACTGCCCATGGGGATGTCAAGTGAGATCAGCAAGACCTGCTCGCATAAGGCCTTGGATGAAGTTCCTATTCCCCAGTGCACACAGCATGAACAGTATTCTTCTTCTTCTTCTTCGCGTTCACCAGCTGTAAACTGTGACGGAAAGTTCTGGTTGTTCATCCACTTCTGGACTGCAGTCCTGTTCCAGAACCTGAGTGTTGCGTGTGCATCCGTTTGACAGATCTGACTCATTTGTACGCAGACTGCTGGTTCCTTGCCTCTCAGGCAGATGCACTCCGACTTTGAAGGAAGCTCCCAATTACGACATGCTTTTGGGTAGGCAGTGGCTCTATTCTTGTTTTCCCTATAATAGTGCCCTGGAACCCACAGAGGAAATGAACAGTATTGTATAGGCTGCTCATGCACTATGTTACTTCTGTCGGCCATCCTTGTTTACTTGCTTCCGCTTTGGTGAGGTCTGAGACCCCCTCCTTTGAAAATTAGTCATTTATATCCCTTTAACAGTAATGTAATAGCATACAGGTGATGTGAATTTATATAACAAGACATTTTCTGTATTTTTGTTTAAGAAAGTTGATAAATTGTTTTGTTTTGCTCATCCTCCCACAGACATTGATATTTTAAACGGACTTAACTGGACTGCCGGTCTGGATGAGCAGTTTAAAAAGAACCAAGAAGAAGATCCGGATATGCTGTGGCAGTATTTTGGATCTCAGTCAGGGTTCCTGAGATTTTACCCAGGTATGTTGCAGCCAGTGATTAACCCTTTCATGCAGGTAACCTAGAAAAAACGACACAACCAGTGACCCTTATTTGGGGAATTAATGAAAAACCTTTAAGAATTTTTTGTTTGCACAGTTTACAAACAAAATCTTAGAATTCTTTTATAGACCAAAATAATATTAACTTCCTTACAGAATACATGTAGTAATCAGTAAGCATGAATATAACAGAGAATTAACGAGGTTACATCACTTTCAGGGGGACCCCACCCCAGTTTTTATAATGGGGCTCATTCTTGACCCCGTGTTCTAGTCACCATGATTAGTTCACAAGCAAACCCCCATCTGTATGCTAATTTTTTTTAAGCAAATATAATCACTCCTGGTGCTCCTACACCGGCACAAACAATAATATTCTTTCAGCTAGGCTTCTCTTGTTAGGGAGGCAGTGAATCTGTTCTTGTTCTTCCCCACAGTGGTGCCCCAAAACTCACACGGGGACAATCTGTTTTGGCAGGAGTGGATTATGTGTGTGACTAGTATATCCTTGACTGGTAGTCTGGTCTGGTAGTCTTAGTTTCAGCTTCATAGCAAACGGGTCACCCCATCTTTGCTCGGCTCCTGTGCCAATGAAAGACACACAGAATGTTTATCACTGTCCCTTATGGAAAGATTGACAGACTGCTGTCTCATCATATCTAGCATTCACACGCATTAAAGCAGCATACGGTAGCCATCCGAAGTGCTAACACAAACAATCCGACATTAGAAATGCAGTTCCTCATTGATGGTAGCAGAAGTCACTAAGAGATCAGCAGTTGTACACGCGATCAGTTTTAATCACATACGGGCACCACCAACATTGCAATGACAGGCATCTCGGTCGCGCCACTTTCTAAATCTACAATTCACACCACCATGTTGGTCACAGTCGAAAAAACATTCCAAATGAAATCCGCCGCTCACAGTGTCACACCGTGCATTCTACTCAGAAATTGGGCGACGAAACTGTATCCAGTTTACAAATGGAGCAAAAATGCATCAGCCACCGTCCAGCAGAAGCAAAAAATTTCCCTCTGCTTTAAACAGTGCTCCTGCCTAGCGTCCATTTTGACCGCTTGAGTCTGTGTCAGGTCTTTATCTGATATGACTGAGCCACTATAAAACAGTAATCTGTATGACCTGTTTTTTGTTAACTCTGCATTTTGGGTGGCATATATAAACCAGGGGGCTGCGTAAGCACAGTCGATAGGAGACTCAATTTCAAATCCAGCTGCGACTCGCTGCAGCACATGACCGGTGGCAGTTCAGTCTGGAAGGTTCCTGGTTGAAAGCAGGCAGAATAGACCAGAGCACTGTTCTTCTGGAACCTGCTTCAGCTTATGTTGCGTGTTAACAGCGACAAAGGCGGATAAGTTTCTTATAGGTCCTTACATGGTGGCAAATACTGTATGGTGGATTTTTGCTGCAGAAACTGGTTCATCTCCTTTACGTCTTTATACAACTGGACAGCCCACTATGCCTGTGATTCCTTTGAGGAGCCCTATAGAGACAACATTAGCACTATCCTAGACTGAGAAAGAACAGAACTCCCCAGATAGTGCCACTGTGCCCTATGCCTAACTGGCAGCCCCTACGAAACTTGGCTGAAAACCATCTAGACAGAGCCAAAACTCAGTGAGACAAGAAGAACGGTCTGGACTCCCTCCGAGACCAGACAGATCTCTGTTCTTCTGACACCTTAGTTATGTTGGTGTTAACAAAGAAAAAAAGGACAATGCTGTGTGAAACACATGGTCCCTCCAATACTGGCCTGGATTTTTGCTGCAAAGAGGAGGAAACACCCTCATCTTTACGCCGGCCTGGATCGGAACAACAACAGGACAATGCAACAATTGTCAAAATGACAGAAAGGTGCTAGCAATTATCCTGTAGTTTAAATGTGTTGTGAATACTTGTATAGGTGGCAAAGGCATAATGCCATGTATATTTGATGATCAAACACTTCATAATCTATGTCGGCCTCAATAATAATTGACCAATATGTTCATGTCTGATTTGATTTGATTTAATATGATTCAAGAACCGACATCACAGCACTCGAGGCATTCCCATAAGCGCTCCGCTCCGTCCCCATCTTCAGCAGCCAATGTAGAGTTCCGATACTAATGGTGCCAGTAGTATTCTGATTAAACATCTGTCTTGCCTTTCCTCTGAGCCCCGAGCATCTGCCAGAACCCCTCGTCACTCCCCGCTGCATTAATCTCACCAGACTGTGGTGATCATCTGATCCTCCGAACTGCACACGCTCTCCCACAAGACACTAACCACGTCTGCATGTTTGTAAACTAATCACGTGGCATTAATATAGTTCTTTATCATGCGTAAGATGTAAACAGAAAAGCAATGCAAAAAAAAACTGAAATACCATTCAGTTGCAGTCATTTTTTAAAATGTAGAGTCTGAAACTCTGAAATTTAACATTTGTTGAAATAATTCTTTTACAGCCGCACTGTGGCCATCAAAAGGTGTTGATCTGTATGATGTTCGTAGGCGGTCATGGTAAGATCTAGCATTCTTGAAGTTTATTGTTGAAGTATTGTTTATTGTTGAAAGAGAAGCTATGGGGGACCGGTGGCGACCTTAAACGCACAATCCTATTTGTGACCCAGACGGGACTCAGTGTTTAGCATGACTGATGTCGAACGCAGAAGAAGAAAAAAAATTGTTGAAGTATGAGAATACAAAAAGCAAGAAATCCCTTGAAGCTAGCGAAACGTGATTGTGTAGAAAAATGTTGAAAGATACCTTGGACAGCCAAAAGTGAATAATCACACTGTTCTGATAGAGGCTACAATAGAGAGACAGTTTATCCCTAACATGAGACAAGGGGAGGAATTTGTAAAAATGTGTTTTTGGTTTTTGTCATGTTGTGAGGAGAAGAAACTCAAACATATTGAAGCAATGAAAGAAGTATAAAAAAAAAAAGAGGAAGACAGGGAGAGAAGACTTTTGACAGGCTTGTCAAATCTTATTCAGTCTCAAGATTGTTGCTTGTTCACTTCTAATGAATTTGTAATATGTATCATATTTCTGTTGGTCTAATATTCAGTTCCTAATTGGTTCTATAGATGCTTCTCATAAAACTTGGTGTTATCTCTCAATCAGGCTAATATACATAATCTTCCAACCTTTCAATAAAATCTGCTGGCCTCTTCATTTCTAATTGTTGTTGTTGTTGTTGTTAACACCTTTCTGTCTTTCCAGATAATAGTGTTCTTTTTTGGTTTGAAATTATGGCATTATTTTGCTGCCAATTAAAATAAACTCTTAGTGTTTGCCATAAGAAGCAACATACATAATCATAATTGTTTGTAGAATGGACAAAAGACATTACCTGGACATTCCAGCATCTACATTGGTGAGACTTTTACGCCATGCACCGATTAATTAAATTTCCCCCACAAATGACCACCAGATTGACTGAGTGGCTATGCGAAGCTCTCTAGGTCCCATCCTTTTCAACGTTTTCATGTCACATCTTGAAGAAAACGGATCTACTTACATCACTGATTTGGTTCTGTACCGCCAATATGTAAATGCTATTTCAATAACAACTACTAATAAACAGCAAGACATTGTGTTTCATGTTGTTATGAACAAAACACACAAAAACATCTTATTGTCATTACAGTACAAACAAGAAAGCACTTTACCATTTCGTGGTGTACTCATTAGATGTAGAGAGAATGGCAGTATACAAAGATCAGTGCGCTGGAAAGGGAATAGACTGGTCATTACCTAAACTTTCAGTTTTATGCCAGACAAATTTGCACGGAATATATACAGGCAGCAGAAATTGAAACCCCAAAGACTACTTCTAAATGGGTAACCCACAAGATTCATTAAATGCCCCTGCAGTCCACCCAACCCTGTCCTGAATAAAGTACAGTGCCCAAACTGCAAAGATTTATTCAGTTAACTTATCAAGGGAATGACTTCCTACAGCATCTGCAGAACTAAAAACAGCTGCTGGCCAAAAGTTCTTTGTCCCTGTTCCAGTTGTAGAATACAGGACCACTTTTGTTCCAGTCCTGCCATTTAAAGAGCTAATGTCACCGTACACTGAATCCAGTTGTATTTAATTAACATATAGCTGTGAGTTGACATACATTGGTCAAACAGAGAGACAGAGAGACGGCATGGAAATAGAGGGACAGAGCATGTACCCAAATGTCTTCATGCATCATTATCATCTAGCCGGTCCATTGCAGAACGACGCTGTGATCACAGTCTGCCTCAAATAAACTTGGTCTCCCACCGTGTGATCTTTCATATCCAAGTTTTAATTTATGTATCCTGTACCGATCTTCATGTTCATTGGCCGTTGCCCCTTCTTCCTGGTACCATACCTTCTGCTATTTTCCAGTCTGCTTCAGAGATAAGATGCAGTTTATTTAGCCAGCATTCCTTGATTTTCAGATCTTTTAGAATGTCAGTCTTTCTTTTCTTCTTTGTCCATGGTATTCAGAGAATCTTTCTGTAGCATTACTGCTCAAAAACCCCTATTTTCTTCCTTAAGGACTAGGAGATAGTCCACATCCATATGTAGCTACAGGAAAGATGCCAGGCACCCACAATTTTAATTTTAATTTCCTTGCTGGTGCTTAACCATAGACTTTTAATGCTGATTAATCTTTGCTTTGCTATGACCATCCTCCTTTTGGTTTCTGTTGAACAGTCTCCATTGCTGTCTCCATGCATTTGAGTGATTGACTACTAGGGTGTCAAAAACAACCAAGAGGACAAATCCCAGCTTTTCAATAGGATGTCATTTGCTTGATACTGAACATATAATTGACAAGGATAATGCTTTCCATATTATTTACTGCAGACACCGATCAGGCACATGTTGAATCTAGCAGAAGCTTTAGCAATATAAAGGAACAGAAGGAATTCATTATAAATTTGAAGTTACCCTAGTGAATCATGTGACTATCATGCACATACAGCAGTTAGACTAAACACTGTAGAAAGAGACATTTTGTATTTCAATGGAATTAGATCTGTCTTTATGCTTCTTCTTGATGTAACTGTAGTAAAGCAACAGACGAGATACAGACAAATATGCCAGGCAATCAGTTGTGCAATTATTGTTTGTATCCACATTATTTAAATTTGCGATAGGTAAACATTGTTTTGAATATCTTTTGCTGTGTGTCAAGATGCAAATCTGTTCTGCCATGTTTTTTGAAACAAGATATTTTATTTAGGTACACCCAAGGTTCAAGTTCCCCTAAGGATATGATGATTTTAATTGATACGTAAGTTATGTTTTGCTTTATATTTAAGTAAAGTTAGTTTGCAGTTAGTGAGCTGTGTAATTAAACCATGTTTGATTATTTCAGACACGTCTCTAGTACATTTGGCCACTCTCATTTAATCTAGGATTTATTTTAGATATCCCTGTGTCTTCAGTCCATTTGTTTCCCATTTACGTACCTGATTGGTGGGATGATTCTCTGTTTGTTTCTCCTCAGGATTTACCCAGTATGTCACAGTGTTTAAGGTATGGTAAAATAATGCCTTCCTGGGACTGAAAGAGTAAAGCATTCGGTTTTCTCTTATCTTATACAACTTATATAATCAGCCTGACTAACGGTAGTCGTTACATCATTTCCTCTTCTGCATTTGACATCAACCATGCTAAAAATTCAACCTTGTCTTGGTCAAGACAGAACAGTGCATTTGAGGTCGCTGCTGGTCTCACTAAACTTTTCTTGCAATGTAGTTCCATTGGGCCAGGTCACCAACCTCTTCCAGGAGTGGCTTAGGCAGTTTTGCAGTACGTGCTCAGGAGTCTTTCTGTCTGTCTGCTCCCCATTCTTATTTTTATGGACTTCAGAGATTATTTTATGCTTATTTTATGTAGGTTTGCTCTAAGACCGCAGTGTCTTGTCCCACTAGAAGTTCAGAGTAAACAAACAGATATTTGGGGCACAACCTGGAATTTAGTTAATGTTTACTCTGCTGTCTACTCTCTTGTCACAAAAGAACATTGGAACTGGCTCAGAGAGTTGGAGAAAATCCCTAGTAGTAGAAGTAGAACAGGCATGGAGTTAGAGGAAATCCCTAGTTGTTCCGGAAACTTCGATGCAAAAGAAGGATCAGCCTATCACAATAGTCATTTTATACACTGATAATGGTATGACAATGACAGCAGAGAAAGAGGAAGCATTTTTGGAAAGATTTATAGCTGATCATAACGGTAGGGAGCTTGTGAATTCAGTTAGGGATAATTTGTTTAATTTGTTTCTTTTTTGCTTTCATTGATAATTATTTTCAGGATACCATTAGGGTGGAGGATGTAACATTTATATTGCAAAAAACAAAAGACATTGCACCGAGGCTAGTGGAGTTAGGTATACCTATATGAAGAGCATGAGTGATGAATACTTGAGGAAGATGGCTTCTTGGTTCTACCAGAGCATCAGAACAGCTTCAGTATTCCATGACTGGGTACACAGCTACATAATCCCAATTCTAAAACCAGGCAGAGATCATTCCAGACTCAGCAGCTTCACTATTATTACCCTACAGAATACGTTTGGCAACGTTAAATATTGAATTAATAATCAACATCACAGCACTCGAGACACCCCCATAAGCGCTCCATCCCCATCTTCAGCAATGAGCGAACAGTTCAAGGCAGATGGTACAAGTAACTGTCTGATTGTATATCCGTCTCACCTCTCCCTTGAGTGTTGAGCGTCGGCCAGATCCCCTGGTAACTCCTCGAAGTGCCATTCTCCTCATCATCCATAATGATCTGTTTGTGCCTCCACACTGATCTTACTTTTACTTTACTTTTTCCTTCCACGTATGCCGCTAAGCGTTGTGGGGAGATGCAAGTTCCTGTCATAAGCAAGGCGGGCAGCATCTGATGTTCTGAGGCCATGCTTTTGGCAGGTTTCGGAGACCCCGTCAATCCACCGTTTCCTTGGTCTTCCTCTTGCCTTATATCCTGAGCTTCTTTGGTTGAAAATTTGTGATGTTATTTGATCATTTTTCATCCTGGTTAGATGTCCAAACCATTTCATTCTTTGATGTTCTATGTAGTCTAAACATGGTGTAGTTTTGACAGTGTTTCTAATGTCTATATTCTTTATCCTGTCTAGTCTGGTCTTATTCGCTGCTTTTCTTAGACATTTCATTTCACAGGCTTCTATTTTTCTTTCATGGGTCTTGTTGATTGTCCATGTCTGGCACTGGTAGCAGAGTGTTGGAATGAAGATGGTGTTTATCAATTGTCTTTTGGTCTTCATGGTTATATCTGGATGTTTAAGCAGAGGTGATAGTTGGTATGTGACAGCATTTGCTTTCTGTATTCTTGTTTCTATCTCTCTGTCCATTCTTCCATCCTCTGTAAATATACTGCCCAAGTATTTGAACTCTTTGGTTTGCTTGATTTTGGCACTTCCAACATTTATATTCAGTGGCCTGTGTGTTCTGCTGATCTTCATAACTTCTGTTTTTTCTGTACTGATTCTCATATTATGTTGTAAACAGCTGTTGTTGAGAGTAGTCAGATGTTCCTGTAGATCATATTCATTTTGATACAGTATGCTTTGATCATCAGCAAAAAGTAATTCGTTTATAGCATACACGTCTGGGTTTGCTTCTACAGTGATCTTATCCATGTATGTTATGAAAAGTAATGGTGACAGTACACATCCTTGTCTGACACCAGTTGTGACTTTGAACCATTCAGAAAGACCACTAGATGTTCTTACTGCACTTTCACTTTTTTCATAGAGGGCTCTGATGTTGTCTAATAATTGACCCTGCACTCCGTAATCGTCAAGAATTCTCCACAGCACATCTCTGTCTACACGGTCGAATGCCTTCTCTTGATCTACAAAGACCACGTTCAGCTCTTTATCGTATTCGAGTGTCTTTTCACAGACTTGTCTTAGTGCAAATATGGCATCAGTGCAACCTCGCCCTTTCCTGAAACCGAATTGTGCTTTACTCAGTAGAGGTTCAACCTTTGCTCTTATCCTACCTTCTAAGATCTTTGCATACATTTTCCCCACATGACTTAGTAAAGATATTCCTCTATAAGTTCCACATTCTCTCTTGTTTCCTTTTTTCTTCCAGATAGGTACTACAACTGATCTTTGCCAATCCACTGGTACCTTTCTCTTTGCCCATGCTCTATTGAAAATTCTCTCCAGCCAGGTGATCATAGTGTCCCCTCCAGCCTGGATGACTTCTGTTGTTATTCCGTCGATACCAGCTGCTTTGTGTCTTTTACTTGTTTTGATAACTTTCTCTACTTCATCCCGCAGGATATGTGGTTCTAGATGATCTGGAGCCCTTGAATGGAATTCTGCTGTTTCATGTACTCCCGACGGGTTCAAAAGTTCTTTAAAATATTCCTCCCATCTTTTTTTAATTTCTTTTTGGCTGAATAATGGTTTTCCATTTTTATCGTTTATGACTGATGTTGGATTGAAGCTTTCTTCTCTTAATCGCATCGCTTTCACACTCTTATAAAAGTCTCTTGGTGATTCTGTACATAGCTGTGTTAGGTGTTCACCATAACTTTTCCATGATTCCTCTTTGGATTTCTTTATTGTTCTCTTGGTGTCTCTTCTAGTTAGTCTGTACCTAATGTAATCCTTCTCGTCTTTTGTTTTTAACCATATTTGAAACATCTTCTTTTTATTTGACACTGCTTCTTTGACTTCTTCATTCCACCAAGCGGTACCCTTTTTCTTGCCTTTGCCCGTCTTTCTGGTACCACACTTGTCTTTTAATATCTTCGTGATGGTTGATTTATAATAATCCCATTCTTCTTCAATTCTTACTGGTTCCTTGGCAATATCTGCAAAAGCCTTTGTTATTTCTAGTTCAAATTCATGTTTGATATTCTCTTCCTCTAATTTCTTAGTGTTGATGATTTCTTCACGTTTCTGTTTATGTAGACTGTTTCTACTTGAGTTGCATATGTTTATAACTACTGGGCGATGGTCTGAATCCAGTCCCGCATTTGGGACAGCTTTTGAGTCTCTTACCTTCCTCTTCTGCCGTTGTCTGACTAGTATAAAATCAATTTGTGACGCTTGATCTAAGTTGTTCCACTTATACCACGTTTTAACCTGACTTTGGCGATGTTGGTAGAATGTGTTGGTAATGTAGAGATCTTGTTCAGCACACAAGTTTAACAGGTGTTCTCCATTTCTATTGCAATCTGTGGTTGTGTCGCTGAATGGGCCAAGGTATCTCTCCCATGGTGATCTTCTTTTACCTACCCTACCATTAAAATCTCCCATTACTATGATGTCCTCTTTCTCTTTAACATTATTGATGGTGTCCGTAAGTCTCTCGTAAAAGTCTTCTTTTTCTTCTTCAGAATAATTATCGTTGCAAGGTGCATATATCTGAATAATCGTTGTAGTTTTACTTCCTTCTGTCAACTTGATTAAAATAATTCTTTCTGATATAAATTCTGTTCCTGTTATTAATTTTGCTGTCTCGGGATGAAGTATAAATCCGACACCATGTTTTGCCCTATCTTTAGTGGGTACTCCGCTCCATAATAAAACATAATTTTCATGTATTTCTTTTGTATTATATCCTTTCTTTCTTGTATCCGCAAGACCCATGACGTGTATATTTTTTATTTTCATGAAATCCACTATTTGTGGCTCTTTGTTGGCAATACCACATATGTTCCATGTGCATATGTAAGTCGTTTTTCTGTCTCGTCATCCTTTAACGTTTCCAGTCCATTTTCCGTTTGGGGCTGTCCGTTTATTTATCTCCTTTCTAATTTTCGTAGCAATAAAAAATCCACTGCCGGCTTGCTAGGCCAGTCGCAGTTTAAGGGAAAATCTGACCAGATGGACCCCATCCCATCTGGCGAGCCAGAGCCTCGTTCGCCTGTGGCCTCACGGCCACAGTTTCCCGGTCTGCACCACTGGGAGGAGAGGTTGACTTATGTGTACTGTGGGTCATCGGCAGGCTACTAATTTTCACTTTTCACCTCTCCTAAGAGAAGCTAGCCGACCCCAACCCTACTGGATGCAGAGCCAGGCACAGTCCACATCTTGCAGACCTCCACACTGATCACTTGCTTCCAAAGGGCCCTAACAACATCTTGCTTGTCATACATCAGTTCACCACCAAGTTGTGCAGAACTGGCCAGCCTGTCTGCTTGCTCATTTCCAAACACACCGGCATAACCTGGAGATAATATCCAAAGGACGCTAACTACCCTCTGCACAGAGCATGCCTGTCTCCCTTTATCAACATGCTCTGTGAGTTGGTTATAATTACGACATGTGTATATACAGCTGATTCTCAGCCAGCGGAAGGCGGCAGTGACTGCCTCCGCCTCCATTCTCAGACTAGACGTTGTGAAATCAAATGCCAGGCTTTGATGCACTAAGTGACATCCATTTGCTTTTGCTATTAATATTAACCCCAATGCACTTCATCTGCCCCTCAGCACAGATATTGTAGATAATCATGTCACCTGGGTAAGAATTGTTATTGTCATGAATCATTTGTTGAATTTCTGATTCTGCAGCATCGGCTGGCCGGTCTCTGCACTCATGGCTAAAGTGATTAGAACCTATTTAAAACTAATTCTTGTTTGGATAGTTTTAACCTACTGCTCTCCTAACCCAAATTTATTAAGCCTCTACATGTTTAATTGTGTCTTCAGCTTGAGCCGTCCAATACCTTCCTTTTTTCAGTCTGTGACCCTTAGCTGTACCTAGGTCTTCATGCAGAAGGTGTTTCTTGTCTGCAGCTACTCTGAGATGTGACTTTGCTTGCAGAACTTTGAGCGATAGTAGGCAGTTTAAGCATATATTGCAAAAATACTACTGGGGTATCTCTTGTACTTGCCAGAATAACCTGCATGGCTTCATTCTGTATGCGTTCAAGTTTCATCAGCTGACTCTTTTATATGGTAAGCATTCTAAGTCCATAATCCATCACCGACAGGATCAAATGCTGGAACATTGTGAACTGCATTCTTTATTCCATGTCCCTTGCTGCCACAATCTTGAGAGCATTGAGTCCTTTTTTGGCATTTCACCACAACTGCCTCCACGTGATCCCCAAAGGACAGGCTTTTATCAAAAACGATACCCAGGTAGCTCAGTTTGCCTCATCTTTTGAAGTTACTGCAATTAATTGTGAGGCTTAGAACATTAGCTCTTACAGTTCTATTGTTCAGAGAGCACCATAAAATAGCCGCCTTTTCTCATTTGATAACACCACCCATCTCTGTACACCAGTCAGTCACTTTGTCTACAGTTGCCTGTAGCTGTTGTGCTATCATTTGCCTATCACTTCCCTGTCTGTATGCAATAACATCATCTGCAGATGTCATTATCCTTCTAACACCTGGTGCTTCAAGTTATACAGTCTTGCTTGTAAACACATTGAAGAGCACTGGTGAAATTTCAGAACCGTGGGGTAGTCCCAGGCAATATTACATGGTTCTGAGGTCCATGTACCCAGGCAAAGGGCAACCATGCACGACTGCAGGACAGCTACTATCCAGTTCACCAGTCAGGGACAAACCCTCTTCTCTGTGAGTGCAGATATCAAAATATCATATCTGACTGTATGGAGATGTCCTGATTACTGTGATGTTGATTCCTAATTCAGCATTCGAGTCTAAAAAATTGTTGTTTGTTCTGTCTGTCAAATTTATTTATGCTTTCCCTCTCCGGTCAGTTGTCTCAAATCTACATTCTCCACTTCCCCCTTATTCTTCTTCTGCCATTCTTGCCCTCAATGGAGCATAAGCCCTAAACCAACTCACGCCAAGTTGTTCTATCCTTTGCTATCGCATGCAGCTCTTCCCATGTCCTATCTTTCTAATTTCATTCTCCAGCTCCCTTCTCCATGCGTTGTTTGGCTTTCCTGTGGGTTCCAGTGCAAAGACATTCAGCGTCTTTTCTTCACCTCTTGGTCCACTGGAGCTTGCATAGTTCTCTCCTAAAGCTCTATATCATTAATTCCCTTTATTCTGCTCAAGCACCAGTTAGTGAATGTCTAGTTTATTAGTAATTGCCTTAGTTGTTCTCCATGTTTCCGTTCCATACAAAAATACTATATTTGACACTAGAATTACACATTTTTAGTTTAGTATTTCTTATAATTTTTTTTAAACCTCCACAGATTTCCTAATGCTACGAAAGCTCCTCTTGCTTTTTATATTCTCATTTAAATAACTTCCCCCTTATTGTATCACTGAAATGTTCAAGCTTGGTTTCTTATGCATAACTCAGTATATATCTTGCCTCAACAGAAGTGGCAGCACACATGGTCAGTCTTTACAGCTGATGCAGAATTCTGTGAAGTCAATACTTGATACGCTGGGTGAGAATGATTATGTCAACATTGTTGCTGTGAGTATGAAATCAGTGCATTTCCAAAATTCATTAAATTTTGTTACCATAATAATCTACCAGTGTCGAAAATATTTGGAACTAATGTAACATCTGATTCAAGATGCTCTGCAGAGATAGAACAATAATTAGAACATCAATTATGACCATTGCAAGAGCAGAACAATCAATCATGAAAACTAACAGCTCAGCAAAAGACTTCAGGTATGTAGGAAGCATGATATGATACAGGGTCATAGAGAATGATTGCTGGGATTTTAAACTGTTTTTATAAAAGAAGTATTTAACAGATATTCATGTGTGGCATCTTAAAATGTTCAGAAAAGTTGAAAAAATTTAGACTTTGTAAACTTCTATACGGGCACCATTTATAGCTCTGGTGATGTTGGATGATATTCAGTTTAGTCAGAATTCAAAATAGTCTGTCTCATGAAAACCATTATCAGATAGTAGATGGTCAATATTTTGTAGACATGTTATGAGAAGAATGGACTTCAGAACTTGGTGACACCTGGCAAGATTTTTTTCCTTTAACCTGCAAGGAAAAAGCAAAGAGAACAATATCTTATGGCTTGACCGACGTCGTGTTTGAGGAGGGACTAGAGCACTGACCTACTGTCATGGGGGATTGTGAATAATGACCGCCTACATTCATCATCATGGTATAGGATGATAATGATGATGAGGAAAACTTCATTAGTGTTTTCCTAGTTATGATATATATGGTACCACGATGGAGGGACCGACCAACACGAAGTATCTATCTATATATTTGGCCATGTGACAAGATTGGCATCAAACAGGGCACCACAGAGATCAGTGTTATGCGGAAATGACATAAACAGCCAGAGGTCAACTACGCAGAATATGGACCACAGAAATATTAGAGACTAAAGAGTACTTTATATGAAGTGAACAGAAAGGCCTGTTCCAGAGATCTCTTCCTGCCCTGACGCCGCGTTGCATTCCAAGAGTACAGAAAAGAAGAAGATATATATCTTTTTTTAAATCTTAGTTAGTATTTCTGCATAGGTGTGGAAATTATAAAGGAATAATGTTAGACATTTCTAGTTAAATTGTGAATCTGTATGAAGAAAAACATGTGTTTACATGTAATTTATGCTGATAGAAATTTATGCTGATAGAAATGTATGCTGATAGAAAAACCTGCTCCTAATAAAAAAAATAAAAAAAATTTTTTTTTTTTGGGGGGGGGGGGGGGGGGGGGGGTAAACAGCTTTAGGAAAATATTCTAAAATGGAACTTTGTATTATTTTGTATCACAAAAACACATTCAGAAGAGATTGGGAATATAAAGAGAGTTGCTAAAGGAAATAAAAAAGGGACGAGTGAAATATTTGGCCCAATTTAAAAAAAAAAACAGAAATTCTTCTTTAACATACCAACCCTTTGAGGCTTATTGCCTTGGATATCACCTGTCAACATTCATCTCTGAAGGGCCTTATCTTTCCAGTTGGTGACTCCGAGTGTTTGTAGGTCTGCTTGAATATTATCTCTCTAGGTCTGTTTGGATATCATCCCTCAACTGTCGTGGTCCACCTCCTGATCTGCGGCTATTCAGCTTCCTTGTGTGCACAGTTTTTGCCTCAGTATCATCTGCCGCTCTCTCTCTCTATGCTCCAGCAACTTCAGCCGCCTATTAGCCCTCATGACACCACAGGTGGTTTGAACAGATTATGAATTTCATTGTTGCTTCTCCCTTCTCCATTCCTCACTGTTTGCAGTCTTTGATGGGTTTTGCTCTGAGACTGTTTTCAAAAATTTGTGAATAAGGATTTGTCCCCATTTATTGTGCTCCAGGTTTTTGAGCTACATTAGACAACTGGTCTTATCACCATTGATATATTATGTTCTTGTTGTTTTGAGATAAAGCATTGAATTTTGACAGATGTTGTAGTGCATAGCACACTTTATTTCCAGATTGTATTTAAGATTATGTTTCTTCTCTTAGTATGTTGGAGCAGTTGAAGTTTGTACTCGAGTATAAATCCAAGTATCTATTTGTACTTGGTCAGTTTTTTATCCTTTTCCAGTCTTGTTGTTACCATGTATTCTGTCTTGTCTAGACTGATAACTATTTCCAGGGTGTGTTTTTTTTAGCCGCTTCCTTCATGAAAGCATTTTTTTTTAGTCTTCATTTTCTCAAATTGTCTGTGTAAGTCTATCTAAATTTGAGGCTTAATATCTGTATCCTGACAAAATAAAGTTGTGCTTCAACTCCCAACCTGAGGACAGGAGTGTTTCTCTTTGTATGTTCTCTACCCTTTGACTTGTCTGGCATGGGAGGCCCTTATGATTACTACACTACAACTAGCATAGCTCTCGGGGTAAAAGACATAACACTTATTAAAAGCCATACTGGAGGTAAAGGCTGAAGCCAGTTCAGCAAGAGGTAGACAAAGATACCAGGGGAAGGATAATGACAGGAATGTACAAACAGCAGTTTTAGAAAGTGTACATCCAGGGCAAAAGATAGAGGATGTTGAAGATCTGTTGCAAGAAGTCTTCATTGCGGCGACAGCATCTGATTAATTGATTAATTTAAATAATGCAGACACAAACAATACATTGCAAAATTTATTGCCAAGCATATTTTTCAGTATCTCGAAAATTAACATTAATATATAATGAAGCTCAAAAATGGAATATATTCCACTCAGTGTAATTGGTTGTTCTCAACGTGTTGTGTTCGTCCAATCACCGGAAGTTCACGTTAGTCATGATGATTACAAGAACACGATGCATTGAGAGAGTCACAATTTGTATTTCAATGAAATATATTCAGTTTGTGTGCTTCATTACACTTGGTTGTATCTCTTTATTGTTTGTGTCTGTATTATTTACACTCATTACGGGAAAACATTGTTTAGAGTAATTGAGTAATCACGAATCAATATTTTTCTGAATTTTTAAGAATACCTCATGTGACAACCAAATGGAGTCAGCTTGTAAAGTTAGTATTTGCTTGTTTTTCAGTTTTCTGAACAAGCTAACTTTGCCAGCAGGTGCTTCAACCACACAGCCTTTGTCCAAGCCAATTACAGAAATAAACTGGTGAGGTGTTAACTAGGGACACAGTTAATTACATGTCCTTTACAGGACATTGCAGAACCATTCCCATGCAGAACAAATCTCTGCATATGTTGGCTGTTTGTGATTTTACTTGGCATTTTTTACATTTGCCGTTGTTTTCTGAACATCTTTGTCTACATTACTGCCTAAGTAGATGTACGACTGCACATCTTGGAGTGGGATACTCTTAAGAGAAACCACATTAGCACATCTAGTATTTAAAATTTACCTTGCATTTGATTCTGTGAGTGGGACAGAAGAGAAATATTATCAGCGAAGTCCAGATAATAAAGCTGTGTTGTAAGGGTTCATTGAATTCCATTCTTAATGTCAGCGGTTGCTGTCTTCATAATCCAGTCTATTGCCAGGGAAAATAGGAAAGGCGACAAAAGACAACCCTGTTGCACTCCTGTTTTTGTTTCAAATGTATCTGTTAGCTTTCCCTTGTGAAGAACTTGACATTTTATGTCTTTATATGTTGCATTCATACAAGAAAAAAGTAACAAACTACACAGCACAGCAGAAATGGTGGGACTAAGAATAAATACAAAGAAAACTAAGATCATGACAAGCAGTCCAAACCAACAACCAGTGACCATAAATAACCAAACTCTTGAAAATGTAGAACATTTCACATATCTTGGCAGTGTGGTGTCCCTACTGGGAGGGACAGAGGAGGACATACAGTCACGCCTGAACAAAGCTAGAGCTGCTTTTGGAAGGATGAGGCAAATCTGGAAATCCATCAATTACTGCGGAGGAACAAAACTCCGACTCTACAAGAGCATCATTTTGCCAGTTCTTCTTTATGGAGCGGAATGCTGGAGAATGACCAAAAAGGATGCACACAAACTGTCCACCTTCCCCCACACATGTCTACGTAGAATTATTAAAATTTTCTGACCAGATACAACCTCAAACACTAAACTACTTCAAGACACAAACCAAGAAACTGTAGACAGTTTGATAACCAAGAGAAGATGGAAATGGCTTGGCCACGTTATGAGAATTAATCCTGATATACCTGCCAAAACAGCTCTTACATGGATACCAGAGGGAAAGAGAAAAAAGGGGTGCCCAAAAACAACATGGAGACGAACGATGGAAAGTGACCTGAGTGCGGCATCTCTGACATGGAAAACTGCACTGAAGTTTGCACAAGGCAGGAAGGCATGGAAAGTCCTCTCTGAAGCCTCATGTGCCACTAGGCACAACAAGAATTGATGATATGTTGCATTCATTAAGTTAATAATTTTCTGTGGGATTCCAAAGTGTCCCATCAATTGCAAGAGAGATTCCCTATTAAGACTGTCAAAAGCCTTTTCATAGTCTAAGAATCCAGTGTAAAATAGTGGATTCAATTCAATGATCAGCTTGATTATTATACATAATGTGGCTATCTGGTCAGTACAGGATCTGTTTGTCCGGAACCCTGCCTGTTCATCTCTCAGCGTTTTATCATTAGCATCTTTTAGTGTCAAAAATAATTTTTCCTAATATTTTACCAGGAACTGACAGCAACCTAATTTTTTTTAAAATAGTTTTCACACTCCTGTAGATATCTTTTGTTTGGGGCAGTTTCACAATTCCGTTGGTATATTTATGTTGGCCTTAATAGCTTTTGCTGGTATACCATTTGGACCTGTCGTCTTTCCTTCCTTCAGAAGATTAATAGCTTTTCTAATATCGTCTTTAGATGGTATCTCACAGTTGATATCCAGTCCCATTTCTAAAGGCCAGATATCTGGAGGATCTCTGGGGCTAGACTGTTTATTAGTCTTTCATATGTTCAGCCCATCTGTCCATTTGATCTTTAGTGTTGGTGAGTACTTTTGGTAGACTTATTTTTGATTGATCCACTTGGTTGACCATATTTACCTGCTAATTTCCTCGAGCTACTATAGAGGTCTCTGAGGTTTCCTTGTGCTGCTGCTGTCTCCACTTCTTGTGCCAGGTCATTTAAATATTTCACTTCATCTGCCCTTATACACCTTCTAAATTCCTTATTAGCTTCTGTATATTTTTCCTGAGCTCTAGCTTTAGCGGCTCTAGTTTTGCAATTGTTCAAGTCTGCCTTTTTACTTTTCTCTTCTTCAATCAGTTTAAAGGTTTCTGGTGTTATCCACGCTTTATGTTTCTGTTCTTTCTCACCATGTACTTCTACACACGATTCATTCCAGATTCCCTTGATCTGATCCCAGCAGACTTCAGTGGTTAGATCTTCAGCTAACTGCTGCAACACCTGGTACTTATTAGATTTTGTTACTGAAAATTGTTCCTCAACTTTTTTATCCCTGAGATAACCTACATTATGCTGGTTTCTATGATTATAAGATGTTATATATCTTTTAAGTTTAAACTTGATTTCACTTACCAACAGAAAATAGTTAGTAAATACATCAGCACCTCTGAAAGCCCAAACAAAGGATGATCTAAACTTTTTGTTAACTCTTTCAGGCCCATGAATTTTGACAGACTTGGCCCACATTAATTTCCCTTTACAAAAATGGCAGAGGGGTGGGTGTACAAGAAAGGCTTAGAAATTGTAATATACTTCTAATCCCTATAAAAGTATATATTTTTTAAAAGAGAAATGAATGTTCTTTTTGAATCTGATGATAAGTGTTTGTTTGATTTTGTTATAGTTAGTGGAAAAGAAGAATTCAGCAGGTGTTAATTTCACAAGGACATTTCACAAAAACATTATTCGCTTACCATGGTTTTGCAGCCACATGAATAGTAAATATCCAAATTTGAGAACAAAACTTCAAAGTTTGTTCAATTTCCTAACATATTCTAAAGTTATGATAACTTTCTGGATTAGTTTAGCACTCAGGGGCTCTTAGTTCCCACCGAGTGCTAAGCAAAATTTCAGACAAAAAATGGCAGAAAAATGAGCCATAACACACACACCATTTACTATTCACTTTGTACAGTTATTTACAGACTATAGCTGCGATGATTTCAATGTAGCTTAGCTATGGTATAGTACTATCTCTTTGTTTAGAGCACTTTCCTTCTCTTACACCATAAATACGGTAGTATGGGATATTGTTTGTGTAATAAACTCGTCAGAATTGCTAGATTCCGAACAGCTGATCGCTCAGCTTCATTGGTGAAAATTCACCGTCCCAATCACTTTCCGAAAAATCTAAATTTGTTTTATCATTATCACAATTAAAAACACCTGACTGAAACAATTTTAGAGCTCCGGCCACAGAAAGATGCATTCTGCGACCTGTTCTTGTGGTTAGAACATTGGTATTCAGTGCACTCAAAAACGAACTTAGAAAATGAACTGATAAAAAAAATTTGATGTTTCTTTCTCTCAAATTATCCACATGTGGTTTAGTCCAAGAAATGAAACTAAAAGGATTTCGGCAGAGTGACTTTCCCTGTTATTCGTACCTCGAAATATTAGAAACTATTACGAATGCGCGTGCGAAGCAAAATTTAAGAGATACACAATTGACGATGACACCCTTGTTTGGGCAGAACGGAACTTCTCAAACTACGCTCACACCGTTGTTTGGGCCTTAAAGAGTTAATACATAGATGATCAGTTTGATTGGTTGTCTTATGGTCTGGTGATTCCCATGTTGCCTTGTATTTTCCTTTATGAGGTAAAATGCTTCCACCAATAACAAACTGGTTTCCTGCACAGAAATCAGTGAAGAATAATTCTCCATTTTTATTCATGACTCTTAGACCATGTTTTCCCATAATTTCTTCATAACCTGTGTTATCCGATCCTATCTTAGCATTCAGGTCACCTATCAAAATTATTATATTGCCCTTGCTTTCATTAGCCTAAAATAAGTAGTGGTAAATGTTGTGGAAAGTCAAGGCAGCCAGTATAATATTGTATTGTTTGGGCTATACAAGTAGAGACCCATATGCCTCACACGCACACACAATAGGACCTTGGCATCAACACAGGGAATCTGGGATTTAAAACCGTTTTGTTCGATACCATTTAATTTTATTTTTGATTTTGATTTTTTTAAAGCGACTAATGAAGGATATAGATAAGCTGTTAGCATCGGGACAGACAGACTTCAGTGAGGCCATCAGGTTTGCTTTTGAAAAGTTTAAAGAGGTAAGTGTAATTTCCAGTATCTTTTTAAAATTGTAAGTGATGTTAATTTATGAACACATAGTGAGAAGAGAGACATTGGAGAACATAGTGACAACTGGAAAAATCAGTGGAAAATGGGCTAGAGGTAGACCAAGAGATGAGGCTGGATGGGCTGAAACCATGGCATGGAGGGATATCATCAAGAGAGCTGTTCCAGGCAACCAGGGATCGTGATCTGTGGAGACGCATGAGCGCCAACACCAGTTGGCAGGGCACATGATGATGATGACGATGTTCATTTATTTGTGAGATGATGGACTAAGGGAATGCATTGTGCTCAGGTGTGCATTTAAAGTTAGTAGTGTTTGTTTAGGACAGGTAAAGCAGTTGTGAATCTCTGTTTCCAGGGCCCAAAAAAAGAAACACCAGAGTGATATTGATGACATCAGCCATCAAGGGCCTATTGATCTATAAAAATATCCCTACCAGACCTGAGGCCCTGAACCTAACTGCCCACTATACCTGAGCTCCTGGGCATTAACACGAAAAAATCAACATGACATACAAAAATATAAGTTACATGCAAACAAGTGGTTAGAATAAGATGTTTGTTGCTTGTTTTAGTATCCAGAAGCCATGAGTTGTTAACCCTTAGGCTCAGTATTATGGATATCGCAACCTTTCCGCCTTGATTCCATTGTAAATACCGTAAATCTGTTAGAAATGTGGCTTTTCTGCCTACCCCCGGGAGTGAACCCGGACCACAAGGAGTTCGTCACCCGGTCACCGCGCAATCCGGTTTAGCCAACTGCGCTAGAGAGCCGGGCTAGAATAAGATGAAACTTGGAGAAATTGAAAAATAGGTTTACCTTTCATCTAGCGCCAATATTTCACCTTTGTTTGCCAAACCACCCAGCAGGATCAGCCTTGTTTCAAAAAAAGTGAGCACCAGATGTTGCTGATTTGCTATCGAGCTAGTTTTAAATCTATAATTTTCAAGATTCTTCTTATCACTGGAGCTCTCACTGACCGTGTCACTTCAACTGGGAACGTATTATTCATGAAATTCTGACTCCTCAGACTCTGAATCAACAAAAATATTGATCACCTGTTGGACTGTGAAAAGCCTAGACCTACTTCACTTTGCTTCCAAAATGCTTGGTTCATCAGCCGCTCGTTTCATTGTGAATTTCAGAATTTTTTCACATTAAACCACACAAAGTAAATCCAAACACAAGTGGGCAGACATCTAGAATGACTATCCACGAGGTCTGACCACGATTGGCTAGTTATTTTTAGTTTGTGACTCATTGTTTTCACGTAGTACGCAAAGTACCGACAATGAGGTACAGTGGTTATGCGGCAGATTAGGAAATTACTGCAGAAGCGGTACAGTGTTCTGGTAGAGATTTGAGTATAGCATCATGTGCCTATAAAAAGGATCTTTAATTTTTTTCCCGAAAGGAAACAGTGAACCGTTAAACTGTAAATATCATAAATAAACTAACGGGGAACCCTTGAGGCTGTAGAAACATTATGAGTAATGAACAAACGGACAGTGTATTGATCGGCACTCATAGAAAGAAGTAGAAAGAAGGACACACTAGACAACATGAAAATCTAAACTTTAGATACCATGCTGGTAATCGACCTGTCATCTCCAAACAGCTTGTGCGCTTCGCTATGGAAACAAGTGTACTAAAATAACAGGACAAACTAGGCACCCCTTGAAAAAAAAAAAGATGTCAGTATCTGTCATACAGCTTGAAATACACAGCTATGGAATACGGACAGAATCATTGAAATTGCACCACAGGTTACGTAAATTTGTTTTAACAGAGCATTTGCGTGTCCTTTACAGGATATTGCGGAACCAACCTCAGCATTGTTTGGCTGTTGTGGTTTTTCTAGGCAAATAAACATAGGGTAAATTGTCTGCAGCTAGGATCAAACCCAATACCCCGGCACTATAAAGCATGTTTACAAGCCTAAGCCATAGATGCTGACAACTGAAAGTAGCACACAATTGACAAAAGTTGATTAAAAAAAATAAAATAAAAACATAAACATCTAGGATCATAACGCCTAAGTGCCTAGTTAGTCATGTTATCTAGTACACTTGGTTCCATAATAAGGTGCACATGCCATTTGGAGGTGACAGGTTCAATTCCCGGTACTGTACTGTAACTGATAAATGACATCTTTCCACCTTTCCAGACATTCGTGTTATATTACGCTATAACTGTAGCTTACAATTTTTATGTCCTCTAATGTGTCCTTCTGTCTTTCTACTTCTTTCCGTGAGTGCCGATCAATACATTGTCTGTTTTGTGAAATACAATTTAAATATCACGCATTTCTTAGATGCAACCAAGATGTCTTTTCCTTAGCATTTACGGACTGTAAACTCTGGCAGAAAGTTCTTATTGTTCATTTGTCCACTTCTGGACTTTAATATTGCTCCAGAACATGAGTTCTGCATGCACATCCATTTTACAGATCTGGCTTATTGTAATAGCACTGGTCTGTCTACACTGTGTTTTAGCATGTTATTATGCTTGTTACTCGTCGATAAATCAAAGAAAGATGTATATTGAATGTTGGGTCAATTCTTGCCACTTTCCAGTTCAGTGATAATGCCTCCAACACAGACAGCATTGGGGCCAACTGTAACAAGGTCATCATGCTGCTGACTGATGGAGGTACTGATACAGCTGAAGAGGTCTTTGAGAAGTACAACTGGCCGAACAAAACTGTGAGTCAACTTTGTGAGCTCTTGTTATGTCAGACAGTTTAGACAAAAGAGTGGTGTAAAACTATTGAACATGCCACTGCACATAACATTTATGGAGAAGCAGAAGTTATTTAACTAGCATATGCGCAGGCTTCATCTAAAGGTTAAAGTCGAGAGAATCCTCTTCATTGCAAGGTGGTTAATCCCAAATGGCTCAGTCTCTCTCCACAGCACGGCTAGCCGTCTGCAGAGAGCGCCAAACAGAGCACAAACTCTGTAGCTCCGCGATGATCCACAGGGATCTCTGCAAAAATTGCACTCCTTAACTGACCCGCGCAGCCGTAAAATGAACCCAAAACTTTCAGAGCGCGAGGCAGACGGCTTGCCCACTTCGCCACAGAGACCGCAGAGAGAGGCTTCATCTAATTAGTCCAACATTGTGCCCATATGTGCTGTGTGTGCACACCGCAGAACATGTCCTGCAAGTCTGTCCCTCATACATCTTATTAAGAAGAGAATACTGACCAGTGAGTCAGTGCTGCACTCAAAGTGGTATGGAACTAAAAAAATAATTAAAAAAAAGTTTTATCACAGAAACTTGTCTGTTGGTGTAAATTAGAGAGTGATGAAAGAAGAAGAAGAAAGAAGCATAAGATAGATGGTTCCATCATCAAGCTAGAATGCAACTACTACTAACATACATGGGCACTACACCTAAAAATGTCTGATGTGAGAGAGAAAGAGCAAGAGGACACCCAAGGAGAAAAGTGGTTGAGGATATAAGAGACATGACACAGAATGACTGTAGCCAGTGCTCCTATCAAGTGCTGGACCACACAAACTGGTCCTCCACACCATGCTATGGCAAAAATGGAAGTTGGGGATGATTTTCCTGTTTCTTCCTTTGTCTTTCTGCGTATGCTGTAAAGTGTTGCAGAGGTGAGTTAGATGTAGATTTTTTGTTTTTAGCTAGATGAGCTCGTGTTAATGTCATATTGTGTTTCTGTAGTGTTTCTTTTACTCTCCCCCCCCCCCATCTCTTTCTTGGTTGGACCCTCTTGACTTGTAGCCTGCTGTTCTTATGTAGTACACTGTAGCTGCTGGCTGATTTTGTTCCATTCTGACTAGTGACCAAACCATTTGATTCTTGATGTTCTGTGAAATCATTTACCGGTTCTGAGCCTACCATTGTTCTTAGTTCTTCATTGATCTGTGTTTCTTCTTGCTGTGGCATTTCTTATACATCTCACTCATATATTGTAATTTTGCGTTTATGTTGATGATGATAATTTTACTTTAATAATTGTAGCCTGATAATTGACTGAGGTACAGTGTTTGGCTCTTACTCAAGCAGACCTGGTGTTATTTATGGTGTGGATAATTTGGATTTTTACAAACTAAGAAAATATTATACTACTGCTTGATCCTAGAGTACTGCAAATGACACCTATTCTTGTTGGATAAGAATGGAAAACTCATAAGAATTCCTTGAAGTTGGAAATTAAAAAGAACAGTGTGAACAGACTAAATGTCAAAATTTAAAAAAACCTAACGCTACAAATAGTATAACTAAAAGAACAAAGCCCTAGTACAAACTTTTATTTTAGAACAGTCTTACAGTGCATCTTTAGACCTATCACAGATGCAAACCAAGGAGAATTGAAAATGTCAAGCAGCAACAAAGTTCATAATTTCTTTAAATCACCACTAATTACTGGCATCACAAATGGGTTGAGTGTAAGTAGACCTTGAGGCCGACCAAAAAAGATTGTAGAGCGATAATAGGCAGGCAGACCCGGAAACACTTAGAGTGATCAACTTAAAAGAGAAGGCCAGTCACAGGAGTGAATGTGCACAAGTGATATCTGTAGCAGTAAACTTCAAGGGCTTTGAATGCTGACGAGGAAAAAGAAGAACCTCAAAAAATAAGCATCTTCTTTTGTCCTCTCACTGATACCAGGTTGTAGCCCAGTGTCATGGTTTGCTGAATTTGACTTGTATTTCTTTGGCGATGGAGTTATTAATTTGTTGTTGTTGCAGGTTTTAGCTACACCATTTCTCTTTCTCTTTCTTTTCTTGATCTTCCCGTAACCTTCTTTCCCCATTTTCTGCTGTAAAACATCTCATAAGCAGTTTTGTGTGGCTGCATTCTGACTAGATGGCTGAACCATTTAATTCTTTGTCAGTATAATTCAGACATGATCTTATTCCAACTTTCTCTCTAATGCTGGTGTTCATAACCCTGTCCCTTCTTGTGTTGTTAGTGACCTCAGGAAGACATCACAACCCTGTCCCTTCTTGTGTTGTTAGTGACCTCAGGAAGACATCACAACCCCCTCTCCAGGAAGACATAAACCCTGTGTGTGTGTTAGTGACATCAGGAAGACATAACAACCCTGTCCCTTCTTGTGTTGTTAGTGACCTCAGGAAGACATCATAACCCTGTCCCTTCTTGTGTTGTTAGTGACCTCAGGAAGACATAACCCTGTCCCTTCTTGTGTTGTTAGTGACCTCAGGAAGACATCACAACCCTCTCCCTTCTTGTGTTGTTAGTGGCCTCAGGAAGACATCACAACCCTGTCCCTTCTTGTGTTGTTAGTGACCTCAGGAAGACATCACAACCCTGTCCCTTCTTGTGTTGTTAGTGACCTCAGGAAGACATCACAACCCTGTCCCTTCTTGTGTTGTTAGTGGCCTCAGGAAGACATAACCCTGTCCCTTCTTGTGTTGTTAGTGACTTCAGGAAGACATAACCCTGTCCCTTCTTGTGTTGTTAGTGGCATCAGGAAGACATCACAACCCTGTCCCTTCTTGTGTTGTTAGTGACTTCAGGAAGACATAACCCTGTCCCTTCTTGTGTTGTTAGTGGCATCAGGAAGACATCATAACCCTGTCCCTTCTTGTGTTGTTAGTGGCATCAGGAAGACATCACAACCCTGTCCCTTCTTGTGTTGTTAGTGACCTCAGGAAGACATCACAACCCTGTCCCTTCTTGTGTTGTTAGTGACCTCAGGAAGACATCACAACCCTGTCCCTTCTTGTGTTGTTAGTGACCTCAGGAAGACATCACAACCCTGTCCCTTCTTGTGTTGTTAGTGACCTCAGGAAGAGACATCACAACCCTGTCCCTTCTTGTGTTGTTAGTGACCTCAGGAAGACATCACAACCCTGTCCCTTCTTGTGTTGTTAGTGACCTCAGAAGACATTCCTGTCCCTTCTTGTGTTTGTTAGTGACAACCCTGTCCCTTCTTGTGTTGTTAGTGACCTCAGGAAGACATCACAACCCTGTCCCTTCTTGTGTTGTTAGTGACCTCAGGAAGACATAACCCTGTCCCTTCTTGTGTTGTTAATGGCATCAGGAAGACATCACAACCCTGTCCCTTCTTGTGTTGTTAGTGGCATCAGGAAGACATAACAACCCTGTCCCTTCTTGTGTTGTTAGTGGCATCAGGAAGACATAACAACCCTGTCCCTTCTTGTGTTGTTAGTGACCTCAGGAAGACATCACAACCCTCTCCCTTCTTGTGTTGTTAGTGACCTCAGGAAGACATCACAACCCTCTCCCTTCTTGTGTTGTTAGTGGCCTCAGGAAGACATCACAACCCTGTCCCTTCTTGTGTTGTTAGTGACCTCAGGAAGACATAACCCTCTCCCTTCTTGTGTTGTTAGTGGCATCAGGAAGACATAACAACCCTGTCCCTTCTTGTGTTGTTAGTGGCATCAGGAAGACATAACAACCCTGTCCCTTCTTGTGTTGTTAGTGGCATCAGGAAGACGGCGCATTCAGCAGGTAGTCATGTTCTGTTCTAGCACCCTATTTTTTGTCCATGTTTGGCACTGAAAGCATAGAGTAGGGATAAAGATGCTGTTAATAATTTTATGTTTTTCTGGAAGGGAGACATTTTGGTTTCTAAGCAGTAGGGCTAGATGATAGGTCACAGTGTTGCCTTCTGTACTTTAACTTCTATTTCTCTGTCAAGTTAGCCGTCTTTTGTAAATATGCTTCCTAGATATTTGAATTCTCATACTTGTTTGATTACAGTTGATTGTAGTACCATTAACATGAACGTTCAGGTTATTATGTTTCCTGCCTATTCTAATTACATCAGTTTTCATGGTGTTTATTATCATTTCATACTTTGTATAGGTTTGATATAAGGAGTCAGTATTTTGTTGAAAATTCTGTTCTCGGCGGTGTATCAAGACACTGATAATCTGCAAAAAAGCAGTTAATTGATTTCTTCATTATCTGTATTTGCCTCCTATGTGATTTTATCCATGTAAGTCATGAATAGCAATGGTGAGAGGACACATTCCTGATGGGAAAAGATAGGTGTAGTATGTGTAATTCTGGTATTTACAAAGACATTTGGATCTTCACTTATGCTTTGGAGTTTGTACAGTGTGTTGAGATTCTTCTTGGGAAGAGACTGGCGTGCCTCTAGGGGTATCTGTGCAGTGAAAATGATCCTTTACAAATAGTCAGAACAGAATGGTTTAGCTATGTGCTGCCATCTGTACATGTGTACAAGCAACTGTATTTTAAACAAAAATCTGATGAAAAATGGGGTGTGGCTTATATTCCATGTATTAGGCCTACATTTCTCTTGTACAAAATTTATTAATAAACAGTCCACCATTTTCAAATGTACAGTTTGAAAACAGTACTGGTAGTTGATGCCATTTTTTTCTGCCGCCAAATCACGAGTCATTTCATGCCATAAAGCGCATTGCTGAGCCAAAACTGGCTTTAAATTCGCTCTGAGAAATTCACATGGTGTCTGATAACATTTCCACAGAAAACCTATCTACCTATATTTTTGCTGGATATATTCCTGCAGATTGGTTTCTTATGTCAGGTATTTCACCTTCTCACCACATCTTTCATTCCTGTCCATCTTCACATGTTGTTTCTCATCTGTATCACACTTCCTCCCAGTTGTTTGGTTTATATTTTCTTCTGCAGATCGCATTGTTGGCAACTTAAATTCACAACTGTAGTTTGTTCATAGACGGGCCCATCTTTCACTGTTTACAGGTACTACTGTTTCGGTTTTGGTTTCAAAAACATTTTTAAGAAAAGTATTTTTTCATAAAATTATCACCTTAAAAACAGCGTGTGGCCTACACACGCATAAATACAGTATTTCAAGTGTTTTCCATTACACTTGAGTCTTCTGTCTTCCATCTTCTGTCAGAGAAAACATACATGCATTTTAATGCCCTGTAAAAGAGGTGCCTTCTTTATGTTATTGTTTTCTGTCTGTTTATTCTGTTCCATCTCTCTGATAAATTCTCCAGTGGTTTCTTGTATATACTTTTGAACCTACGTCTTGGCCTACTTCTGGATCTTACTCCCTTTCCTAGTTATTAATCATTTGGTTATTTGGCATAAACCAGACATATACATTATGTTCCAGAAAACAGTTATCTTCTTATTCTTCACTTCCTCTTTTGGCCCTATGGGTGTTGAGGAAGATATAGGATGCTTCTTGACACTCGTCTGGCCATTTCAACCATAGACACTTTGCTGTTGTAGAGTTTCTCTGATGTTATCTTTCTATATTGTTCTTGGTCAATGTTGTGCTTTACGTCCTTCTTCTCTTTTAGTGTATGCTTTATGTGATATGGCATCACAAAGTATTCTCTAAGTGTTCAGAATATTCGATTTGTGTCATACTATGGTTGTTATACATTTTCTAATATGTCCCAGCCAACAGTCTTCTGTGAAGAAAGGACCTTTTTTCCCCGCCTTCAGGCGTGTTGGGCATATCGGGTTAGGGCTAGGGCTAGACCTATATTTTGTAGACCCGTTCAGCTCTTGATGGATAATGTGATCAGCATCACACCAGTCACCTTTACTTCCCAGGACTTGTACCCCACTCAAAGCTGGCTCCACCTAGGTCATTTTTTGGGGGGGAGGGGGAAACACAGGTCTGTCTCCATCAGGACCCAAGCCTATTACCTTCCTATCCACAGACAAGCCTCTAGCCACAACACCACGTCCGCTGCCTGTCTTCCGCATGCTGATATGTAAAATTGGTTTTCTCCAGGTGCGGGTGTTTACATATGCTGTGGGTGCCACTCCCAACCCAATTAGTGCTCTCAGATGGATGGCTTGTGCTAACAGAGGTACACCAGATGTGTGTGTATTGTAGATAAACCAGATGACTCAGATGGATGGCTTGTGCTAACAGAGGTACACCAGACATGTGTGTATTGTAGATAAACCAGATATCTCAGTTAGATGGCCTGTGCTAACAGAGGTACACCAGACGTGTGTGTATTGTAGATAAACCAGATATCTCAGATGGATGGCTTGTGCTAATAGAGGTACACCAGACATGTGTGTATTGTAGATAAACCAGATATCTCAGGTGGATGGACTGTGCTAACAGAGGTACACCAGACGTGTGTATTGTAGATAAACCAGATATCTCTTATGGATGGCCTGTGCTAACAGAGGTACACCAGACTTGTGTGTATTGTAGATAAACCAGATATCTCTTATGGATGGCTTGTGCTAATAGAGGTACACCAGACATGTTTGTATTGTAGATAAACTAGATATCTCAGATGGATGGCTTGTGCTAACAGAGATACACCAGAATTGTGTATTGCAGATAAACTAGATATCTCAGTTAGATGGCCTGTGCTAACAGAGGTACACCAGTTGTGTGTGTATTGTAGATAAACCAGATATCTCAGATGGATGGCTTGTGCTAACAGAGGTACACCAGACGTGTGTGTATTGTAGATAAACCAGATGACTCAGATGGATGGCTTGTGCTAACAGAGGTACACCAGACATGTGTGTATTGTAGATAAACCAGATATCTCAGTTAGATGGCCTGTGCTAACAGAGGTACACCAGACATGTGTGTATTGTAGATAAACCAGATATCTCAGATGGATGGCTTGTGCTAACAGAGGTACACCAGACATGTGTGTATTGTAGATAAACCAGATATCTCAGATGGATGGCTTGTGCTAACAGAGGTACACCAGACATGTGTGTATTGTAGATAAACCAGATATCTCAGATGGATGGCTTGTGCTAACAGAGGTACACCAGACATGTGTGTATTGTAGATAAACCAGATATCTCAGATGGATGGACTGTGCTAACAGAGGTACACCAGACATGTGTGTATTGTAGATAAACCAGATATCTCAGTTAGATGGCCTGTGCTAACAGAGGTACACCAGACGTGTGTGTATTGTAGATAAACCAGATATCTCAGATGGATGGCTTGTGCTAATAGAGGTACACCAGACATGTGTGTATTGTAGATAAACCAGATATCTCAGGTGGATGGACTGTGCTAACAGAGGTACACCAGACGTGTGTGTATTGTAGATAAACCAGATATCTCAGATGGATGGACTGTGCTAACTGAGGTACACCAGACATGTGTGTATTGTAGATGAAGCAGATATCTCAGATGGAATCATTTATTTCACATAATTTGTCTCCGGCTTTTCTAATGTCATTTTGTTATTAGCAGTTGGCTAGTAATTGGCAGCAGTACAAACTCTGCAGTCTTGCTTGTATGCACACTGAAGATCACCAGTGAAAGTGCAGAACTCTTGGGATAATCCTAGGGCTATATTACATGGTTCTGAGGTCCATGTACCCAGGCGAAGGGCAACCATACGTGAATGCAGGACAGCTACTATCCAGTTCACAAACCAGGGACAAACCTCCTTCTCCATGAGTGCAGATATCAAAATATCATATATCTGACTCTATTGTGTGCATCCTCAAGATCAGTTGCTGCCACAACCGTCTCCTGCCTTTTCTGGAACCCCCTCATAAACATCAGATGTAAAAGTTGCTGCATTTGACCAGGTATTTTTCCGTGGCCGGTAACTGCCACTGTTTGTAAGCCAGTGCATTTACCATTGAGACTGTCATGTCAGCTGTGACCATAACTAGCTTGTCAACTAGAACCTGTTGTTGAATGCGGCCCTGCTTTTTTGTCTGCAGGTTTTTTCTCTCAAATCCCTGCCATGGGAGCTATCAGAGCAAGAGTGCAGGTAAGAACCGGTCAATGAAAAGATATAAAACCAGGTGAAAAGCAGAACCAGTCAGCTTTACAATTTTACAAACACAAACTGCGAGTGAACGTTGCAGCTAGAGAGCCTTCATCAGCCATATTACATAAATTACCCTACCCCACATACAAACAAGAATGTGCAAAATCACTTAAATGAGGTATCTCACAGAAATCACATTTCTGTCTGGCCATTTAGAATATCTGACAGGTTTGTGGCCACCAGAAGTAAATACTGACCAGAAAACGCAGTGAGCAACAAGGACCGTAACTCAAAGATATTAGATAAATGGCTGACAGTGAGTTGAATGTTAAGTTCCCTAGGTAAAGCGGTTCAGTTTGTTTACACATTGTGTTATGTTTGTAAGTTTACATAACCGGTTCAATTTCAGCTGCACAAGGAGGTGGCAAACTGCTGAACATAAAATCACAAACAGCGAAATAGGTTATTTAAAAACTTTTTTTTTTACATTAGTGGTTATTATTGTTGTGTGTGGGTAGAATTATGTTAAGGAGATATTCCTTCAGACAAAATATTTAGAGGCTTCCTTCTAAATACAGAGATGGAGAAAGACTGCCCTAGATGTTATTTGTCCGTCATTAGACATTTCATTTGCAGAAAACTAGTGCCTGTTCTATAATAATAGGAGTAGGCTGCAAGACCATTTGAACAGGCCAAGTTGGACATGCAGAAGATATGGTTTGAAGAAAAATACTACTAAAACTGAAGTAATTTAGGTCATCAGAATTCATAGTTCGCTACATATTGGGTTGATTGGTACTTGTCTGAAGCAAGTTTAAGAAATGGGAAATAGAAACGAGAGACCAACGAGCCAGTGCACTTATACACAAACTGACACCATTTTAAAACCATCAAAACATAAGTATGAGTACCAAGAAACTTGAAGGATGCATACAACAGAGTACCATCTGAATACTTGGTGCACTGCACATACTTCTCCAGCTGCAAATATCTCCCAATATCACCCTCTGAGTAGCCTCAGCATTGCTTCAGAGACAGGTGATACTCAGGTGTGGTTGTAGGTCCTCAGAACCCATAACCCTCAGTCCAGGATTGCCTCAAGGTTCTCCACTGTCTCCAGTCCTATTCAGTGTGTACACAGTGCTGATAACTGAACAGCAGTTGCCCGGGAGTGGCAGGACCTTGTCATTTGCTGATGACATCTTGGTGAATCGCAAAGGAAAAGAATTAGGACAGAACTCCTCCTTGTGGGACTCCATATTTCATTGTAACTGATCTGCTCCTTGAACTCTGTATCTTGACTCTTGCAGTTTGATTTTCAAGGTATTTTAGGATCCACCTAAGCATGTGATGGGATATTCCACTTTCAAGTAGGTTTTGTTTCAGCCCATTTTTTTAACACTTTGTTGAAGGCCTTTTCTATATCCACCCAGACTACAGTAGTTGAAAAAAAAAAAAAAGGTAATCTTACTGACTAACAACTTTTTGTAAAACAATTCTCTACAGAATTAAATGGGTCAGTGAACAAAATCCTGAAAGAGTATCAAACAGGTTTTTAAACCTGGAAGAAGCTACTTAGATCAAATATTAACTCTGCAACTTATTTATGAAAAACAACAACCCTCTTTTTTGGAATTTTGTTGACTTTAAGAAGGTCTTTGATAGTTTACAAAGAACATCACTTTGGGGAATTTTGGAATGCTGTGGTAAACCAATGAAAATAAAATATATAAAGGCAATGTGTGAAGGTTCAGAGTGTGCAGTGCCAACAGTTGATGGTTTAAATGATTGGTTTGAAGTTGATACTGGAGTGAAACAGGGATGCATTTGATCTCTCCTCTGTTATTTGGCGTAACCATTGATGGGGCGATGAAGAAATGTTGTGTTGGGGTTTTGAAGTTGATATGGAGTTGCATTTGATCTCTCTGTTATTTGGCAATGTGTGATGAAGAAATGTTGTGTTGGGGTTTGAAGTTGATACTGGAGTGAAACAGGGATGCATTTGATCTTTTCTGTTATTTGGCGTAACCATTGATGGGGCGATGAAAAATGTGTTGGGGTTTGAAGTTGATACTGGAGTGAAACAGGGATGCATTTGATCTCTCCTCTGTTATTTGGCGTAACCATTGATGGGGTGATGAAGAAATGTTGTGTTGGGGTTTGAAGTTGATACTGGAGTGAAACAGGAATGCATTTGATCTCTCTGTTATTTGGCGTAACCATTGATGGGGTGATGAAGAAATGTTGTGTTGGGGTTTGAAGTTGATACTGGAGTGAAACAGGGATGCATTTGATCTCTCTGTTATTTGGCGTAACCATTGATGGGGCGATGAAGAAATGTTGTGTTGGGGTTGGAAGGATTCACTGGAGTGAAACAGTGCCAATTTGATCTCTCCTCTGTTATTTGGCGTAACCATTGATGGGGCGATGAAGAAATGTTGTGTTGGGGTTTGAAGTTGATACTGGAGTGAAACAGGGATGCATTTGATCTCTCCTCTGTTATTTGGCGTAACCATTGATGGGGTGATGAAGAAATGTTGTGTTGGGGTTTGAAGTTGATACTGGAGTGAAACAGGGATGCATTTGATCTCTCTGTTATTTGGCGTAACCATTGATGGGGTGATGAAGAAATGTTGTGTTGGAAACACTGGCGTTGACTGGGTGGAGGACACACAGTTGGGAGATCTCAGTTTTGCTGACAATATTGTTCTGGTGAGTTTCATTAACATGCAAAAAAAACACCCAGATGATTTAGCACACATAGCATCAAGGGTTGAACTACAAATAAGTTATGAGAGGACAAATATATTGAAGGCACCAACAATAGATCAAGCAGATGTAACATTAGAGACACAGGTAATTAAATGTACAGATCCATTTGCTTATTTTGGTAGTAATTTTGATAGAGGAGGAAATAGAATGAAATTATGACACGCATTAACAAGGCATCAGCAGCTTCTAATAACTTGAAAAAAAAATGGAATTCTAAATGATATAGTTTAAAAACCAAGTCCGATTGGTCTATAAAATATAGGTATAGCCCTAAATGCTGAACACGCCCGAAGGCCTGGAAAAGGGTTCTTGCTCCTTATTTGCCCAAAAAAGGGTCCTTTGACCAGACTTGTGCACCCACACTGGAGGTGGAGATAGGTCTTGGTAAGTATGAGTACCAACTGTGGGAGCTCTATGTCCCAAATCTTGCAAATACTGGCAATGACAATTAAGTCACTTTATTTTGGTAGTTTAAACACTCTTGTATCCACAGGCTCTTTATTATATTTTGTTACATTGATACTTAGCTGTAATCTGTTGGCACTTACTGTATGTCAGGCTTATACAAGACATCTCAGAGAGAAGGAAATAGCTAATGCAAAAGAGGTGGCATTTGAGATAACAATTGATCCAAGGGTATGATTACTTGCAAGTTGCCTGCCTTTTTTTTTTTTAAAGAGGTTGTGGCAGTTGTTGTTATCTAATTTCTAACAGATCATGCCAATGATTTTGTTTGCTGACTTACCATGTTGCAGTGAACTTTTGTGTATTGTCCTATACTAACATCAGTAATATGTTAGCCAGAATTCACTTGATCATTAAGATGTATAGTCTCAGGGTTAAAAAATAAAATAATTGAAGCTGAGGTGGCACAATGGCTAGACACTTTTCTGTCAGCATGAAGATTTTGGGTTTGAGTCTGCATTGAGTTATGTTTGTAATAGTTTGATTTAGAGTAGCAATGATGGATACCCCGGTTACAGATTCCTTTGAGGATAAATTGGGTATGGGAAATTTGTCGTTAAGTTTCCCCCATGTGGGTTCCGGGGCCCTATTTTTGCAGAAAAAAAAAGAATAGACCCATTGCGCCCAACAAGTATGTCATAAAACTCAACTAATGTGTGACCTTTCCTTTTAAGTCCGGGTGCATCTGTCTGAGAACTGAGGAACCAAAGTCTGCTTACAAAAGAGCCGAATCTGTAAAACAAATTTGCACGCAAAACTTATGGGACAGGACTAAAGTCTAGAAGGAAGCGAACATCCAGAACTTTCCGCCGGAGTTTTCGGCTGGTGAATGCGAAGAAGTCCTTTTCAGTTTTTGCATCCAGGATGCGACGCTTGAAGTTTCACAAGTGGTCAAACCTTCACGTAGCAGCCTACGGGTGAAAAACAGACACAGAGACAGACCACTATAGATGATTCCTTTCACCCCTGAATTCCTGTTGAACAATGTTCTTGTTGCTGGTATTCCCAGAGTTGTATTTCTTATCCGTGTGGGTTCAGGAGGCTCTATTGGGGACAAAAGAATAGATCCACTGCTCCTTAACAAGCAGTTGGATGTGCTGGGCTGAAATCTGTAGATATCACAGCCTGGCTTTAAACCACAACACAGCACAACATGCTAGCCACCATCATAAGAACAAATGCAGAAGCAGAAAAAGAACATGTCATTATGACAGTTTAATATAACAGCCTTATCTGCAAATCCCTGACACCTCCTCAAGAAGTTATAATTAAGGCATCCATAAAGATACCTCGTCAAGAAGTTATAATTAAGGCACCCATAAAGATACCTCATCAGGAAGTTATAATTAAGGCATCCATATAGATACCTCGTCAAGAAGTTATAATTAAGGCACCCATAAAGATACCTCGTCAAGAAGTTATAATTAAGGCACCCATAAAGATACCTCATCAGGAAGTTATAATTAAGGCACCCATAAAGATACCTCGTCAGGAAGTTATAATTAAGGCACCCATAAAGATACCTCATCAGGAAGTTATAATTAAGGCACCCATAAAGATACCTCGTCAGGAAGTTATAATTAAGGCACCCATATAGATACCTCGTCAGGAAGTTATAATTAAGGCACCCATAAAGATACCTCATCAAGAAGTTATAATTAAGGCACCCATAAAGATACCTCGTCAAGAAGTTATAATTAAGGCACCCATATAGATACCTCGTCAGGAAGTTATAATTAAGGCACCCATAAAGATACCTCGTCAAGAAGTTATAATTAAGGCATCCATAAAGATACCTCATCAGGAAGTTATAATTAAGGCACCCATATAGATACCTCATCAAGAAGTTATAATTAAGGCACCCATATAGATACCTCATCAAGAAGTTATAATTAAGGCACCCATAAAGATACCTCATCAAGAAGTTATAATTAAGGCACCCATATAGATACCTCATCAAGAAGTTATAATTAAGGCACCCATAAAGATACCTCATCAAGAAGTTATAATTAAGGCTTCAATAAAGATACCTCATCAAGAAGTTATAATTAAGGCACCCATAAAGATATCTCATCAAGAAGTTATAATTAAGGCACCCATATAGATACATCATCAAGAAGTTATAATTAAGGCACCCATATAGATACCTCATCAAGAAGTTATAATTAAGGCACCCATATAGATACATCATCAAGAAGTTATAATTAAGGCACCCATATAGACACCTCATTGCAATATGCTTTGTTCTACTAGCAATATGTCGTTGTCTAGGGGATGATGTGTGTACTCGATGTTATTACTCACATTCTAAGATGACATAGCTGCGACAGGTCAACGCTGTCTCCAAGATACAAGACTGTTTATTGACATCTAAACACTGACATAGATTGTCCCGTCCATGTCCTAATCAACAGCTTTCACACAACACATTGTTCAGACGCCAACACGCTGACTCCTCACACATTCACCAACCAGAGTTCTGCGTCTTCAGTTCCACATCGCATCATAGATGGATCTTGTCCCTGCATCGAGTTTCACACAACTACGTTGGCTGGACTTTACTTTGATGGATGTTGTCGTCTGGTCTTCCTGTCGCAGCAATCAGTTTCATGTTCTCATTCGCACGATCACTCTCAAGTCCTCTCGTTCTGACCGTCAACACCTACTGCCTGATCAAACTGGGGTCTGATTTTATACCCAGTGTTCGTTCCACGTGGCAACACATGGTTGTTCTTGGGTTCCACGTGGCGACCTGTGGTCGTTCTCCTTGGGTTCCACGTGATAACACATGGTCGTCCCCTACCTTGAAAACCTCGGTTAATCCAAGTATCTGGCTTCTCTCAGTATTATTGTTAACTTTGGGCTTTCCCCCCAACTTTTCCAATCAGGGTGAAAATATCCCCCATTACACTCATCAAGAAGTTATAATTGAGGCACCCATAAAGATACCTCATCAAGAAGTTATAATTAAGGCACCCATAAAGACTTTACTTCAGGTACCTGCTGTTCTGGTCGGATAAGGATGTTTATATGTACATACACCTTCAGACATCAACCTGAGTAATCAGTGGTAGCTTGTGGACAGGACGCCTGAACTGTACCGTCATATTTTTTTATTGCTGTGGACAAATCTCATAACCCTCATAAGTACAGAGGTCGAGGAACCTAGGAAACATCACGAAATACAACAGAGCCCAAGCACACTACCTGATGACTGTAACTCCTTCACAATTCAGGTTGCCATGATCATCAACCCTCAGATCCTGGGTTGCTATTTTCAGTAAATATAATCATATCTGGCCCATCCAGATACCATATAGTTGTAAGCAGTACCAAGGCCTCTTGGAGACGGACAGTCTGAATAAACTGAATTGGTCTATTCTTGAGCATGCATCTTCCCTGTGGCTACATATGGATGTGAGTTGTGGACTATCTCTCAGTCCTTGAGAAAGAGAATAGGGGCTTTTGAGCTGAAATGCTATAGAAAGATTCTCAGAATATCTTGGACAAAGAAGAAGAGAAATATTGACATCTTAAAAGATCTGAACATCAAGGAAGATTGGCTAATTAACAGCATCCTGTCTCAGAAGCTGAAATATTTTGGTCATATCAAGCGCCACTACGGATTGGAAAAAATTATAGCAGAAGGCATGGTACCAGGAAGGAGGAGCAGGGGCCGACCTACACGAAGATTGGCACAGGATATAAGTGACTCCTTGAGTATGAACGTAGATGAGGCGGGAGAACTGGCAAGAGACCGAGTTTCTTTCAGGCAGACTGTTATGAGAGTGACATTCTGCAAAGGACCTGCTACATGATGATGATGGTATATTCTTAGGGATTTGTAACGGGCAGAAAAATCAATATTTTAGATTGATAGGATGAGATAGCCAAGGCCCTTTAGCTTGCTAGGCATCATAAGTTGCAGGTGATAAGTTTTTTAAGAATTTCATTTCATTTAGATGTATGTCTTTCATACTGTTGCATGAATTCGAACCCTTTTCTACCGTCACAGTCGATGGTATTTTAGAAGCGATAAAGAGTCAGTAGAGATTGTAAGCCAGTTATAACAAGAGAGAACAGGACCAGTTAAAGTTTATTTTAGTATCAGTTAACGGACAGACAGTTGAGTCCCTTCAGGTGAACGTAGTCAGGGTATACATCAAACCTACCCAACTATTAGGTTACAAAAGACCACACTAACAGCTGGTAAATGCAGTGAGAGAGGCTCGAAGTATTTAGGAAGTTTAAGGGATTAGTGTCACCAGGGAGGTATAACCTGTCTCCTTACATTGTGTGTTGTAAACAGTGCATGTCGTGAGTGATTCCCTAGGTTCCTCAACATGGAACCTGTATTTGTGCATACTTGACAGTGATTATAACTATGCCTGTGTTGGAGACAGGATTTGTTCACCCTGGATACTGTTGTTGTGGCATAATGGGTGCATTTGCTGCATCATTTGAATTGGCTTCTGATAATTTTGCAGGTTTATTAGACAGTGTCTTACAGTCATTTGTGCATTTGTGGATTTCATTATTATTGTTTTCATTGGTGGGGGAGGTTTTTTGTGTGTGCATGTGTGTGTGTGTGTGTGCGTGCATATGCCTGCGTGTGTGTGCACACCTGTCTGTCTCTCTGTCTGTCTTGCTGTTTGGTTATTGGTACTTACATCAGTGCTAACTCTATATACATTTGTTGGAACACACTATTTATATAACATTTACCAGCAGCTGAACTAATATGTGAAATCTCTTTGATATTTTGTTGACCCATTTTGTATGCCTTGCTCAAAGGGCTATTAGCAGGAATCATGTAAAAGAAGTACTTTGGGTCAATAGTTGAATTCTGCTTTTGCATCTGTTCTTCAAGGAGTATATCCCAGTTCTCAGCCGACCTCAGGTCATCATGGATGAGAAGGCTTCTGAATGGGGAAACATTTACGAAGACCATTTGGTATTTTCATTATTGATTAAATTTGTGGCCATCAGTGTTTCTTTGTCTTTTTTCTTCATCCTGTTTAGCTTCATCATTTGTCAGCCTTTTTGATGTGTCAGCTGTTGTATAGTTGCTTTGATTCGTTGTTGTCCTAAGCACAGAATCGTTAAGCCCACTTTGTTAATGCGTTTTGTAAATTCTGGTATGGTAAAAGTAAGTAAAGATCCCTTCTCAT